GGGGACCACTTTCTCGCCGTCCCCCGCGACCCCGTGGGGCACCCCTGCCTCGTGGGACAACCCTGCCTCATAGGGCACCCCTGCCTCGTGCCTTACCCCTACCTCGTGGGACAGCCCTACCCCAATGGTACTCCTCTGACGCCGCATACTCAGCCTCGTGATCCAACCTCGCGCCATCTCTCGTTTGATACAGGGTCCGACGAGCCAGCTCTTCCACCCGCCGACCATACTCAACGACTGCAGCATTGTCGCCATGCTGCTGCATCTCCTGCCCCAACTGGTAGAACATGTGATGCCCAATAGCCTGCGCAACATTTAAAATATTAATTAATTAACGCTATATCACAATTATAAGATATTAATAAGCCACAAAAACATACCAGTGCCTCGTGCCTCCCAGCATATGGTCTGTACCGATTGCCAAGTACATGAATGGGGTTCCCGATCATCAGTTGGGTGTGATGGTGGTACCATGAAGTATACAGCTCAATAGTGGCCTCCTGGATATGTGAAGGTGGTGGCGGAATATGGTACTCTCGTTGGTCCCAAATATGGACCTGCTGCTCTAGCCATCCTACAAATTCATCGTCCACACTGATATGGTCATCCTGCTAATAATGCGTAGGCACCCATGCAGTCTCCCCCAGTATAGTCTGGGGACAGTGAAATTGGCGAAGTACACGCTCTGTGGCATGATGCTCCACCACATCAAAGAAGATCATCAGGACGGAAATGCTCCAAAGCAGCCGGTCGACTGAGCAATAATCGGGCAGCTGAGCTAGCAACTCGTCGTTGTATGGCGTCCAAATGAACTATCAAATAATAACATAAAAGTGAGTATGTGCAACACAAGTGAATTTATAACAAGTAAGTTTAGGTACATATTTACCAGTTCGGCCACCAGCATATCTAACACATCCCTGACAAGGGGGAGATTATGATGAGCATCAGTCCCTCGGTAGTTCCCACGCAGGAGAACCACCTCGTAGCTAGAGGGAGAAACGGAAGTGCTACACCCGGCTCTAGTGGTGGTAGAGGTGGCTGCAACGGCAGGATTCGCTGCCAGGCCCAAACCTAAGATAAAAGGTTGACGTAAAATTTAAGAGTCATTTTGACTATATAGAATTCGGAGTAATGAACAGAGTATTCGAAAATGTTGTCACCTGTAGAAGCGGCAGAAAACCACATATGTCCACCTGGGTGCCCATGCTCGCCCGGCACATACTCCTGTACAGGTATGCTAGAACAGCAGCACCCCAATTGTACTGGGGTAACTCATTTAGCTGCTGTAGATGATGGAGAAAGCGCATACTCATTAGATTTCCCGAAGTGTTCGGGAACGAGACACCCCCCAAAAGAAGGAATAACGCCAATCTCGTGTACCGGTCAATATGGATATCCTCTGTCTCGCCGGTAATATTGGGGTGCAATAACTCCATATGCTCTCTGATAACTGTCACAGAAATGCGACTACCCCCTCTAAGTGCAACCTCACCCTGTGGTCTGAAACCAGTATACTGCCCCAGCAAATCCAAATACTGGGGACACGTCATAACTCTCATATACTGGGGCAGTGTAACGGCTAGTCCATCTACACGCATCCCATATAAAACCTGAACATCTTGAAGTGTGATGGTGGCCTCTCCAGTGGGCAGGTGAAAAGTGTGCGTCTCCGGTCGCCACCGCTCA